GGGGGGGGGGGAGGCGCCATGGGACCATGTCCTCAATGAGGTACCACGGACCTGAGACCAGCACGGCGGTCTGGGAAGCACTGGCCTGAAAGCCTCCGAGAGGAGGACGGGCAGGGCCACAGTGGTGAATTCCCGGGTCCCAAGAATGTAGAGCTGTGCTCCCTCCACCCCACCCTCCTCAGGGGAAAGGCCCCCGGCAGGGTGCAGAGGCGAACACTGGACAGGCTCCTGATGGGCAGGGCATTCCAGAAGCTCATGATCCCTCTGTTACTTTGGCTGCCCTAGTCGGCTGGGGGCCGGGCAGCACTCCCAGGACTCCTGGAGGACTCCGTGTGCTGTAAACATCACTGGCGCTGGCCGCCGGAAGCGTGTGGGTGGAGGAAGCCGACTCCGGGGCTGCAGAGTCCTAAAGCACCTCTCACCCCACGGGGTGGGCAAAAACGTCTGGCCGCAGTCCTCAGAGGGCCCCAGGCCCACGGTGGGCCGTGCGCCAGGAAGGCGAGGGCGGCAGAGAGCTTGCGCTGGCCGGGCCCAGGCCTGACCTGCCGGCTCCTCCTCTAGGGGCCCTCTGGAGGCACCAGGCCACAGTGCCCGGACACGCTCCTCAGAGACCAACCCTTTCCCAGACCCGGGGCCATGGCAGTCTGGAATGCCGTAGCCCCAAGAGACAGTGAGTGACCGCTGCCACCCGGCCGGACGCCCGGGGCAGGAGGACGGCCTAGGCCTCTCCCCCGACTCTCGCGGTCCCGCCCACGAACTACTTTCTCTTTCCAACGAAATAGCTCGTGCTGCACCTGCCCGCCCCGCAACCTTTGCGCCCGAGGGGCGGGCCTTCGGCGGCAGCCTCCGCTCAGAGGCGCGCAGGGCCCTACCCCAATCCCCGGGCACCCTCGGAGCAAAACAAGGCAGGCCCCGCCCCTCGTCGGCGTCCGGCATTGGAGCCTCGGTCGGGGTCCCGGGCAGAGACCCCCAAGGCCCCCACGGTCCCCGCGGACGGCCCGCTGCTCTGTGCGGACTGAGCGGGGCGCTCCGCGCTCACGAGGACCACACGCCAGCCCCCGCCGGCCCCGCTCACCCAGGCAGGCCCCGGTGACCAGCGCCGTGGCCGTGAGCGCCCCGGCCGAGGCGCCGTAGATGTGCGTGGCGTTGGCCACCAGGAAGGACGCGTGCTCGCGGAGGCAGGAGGCCACGCCGATGTGGTAGACACCGAGGAAGCCGCAACCTGCGAACGAGATGTTCCATGTCGTCTCCCTGGGGAACATCGCGGCGGCCCGCCGGGCTCCCGGGCTCCGCGGGCGGCCGGCCTCGCTGTGCGCCGCGCGCTCGCCGCTCGCTCTGGAGCCGGGGCCAGAGCCGGCCGGCCGGCCCCGCAGTCGCTGTGGCTCGCGGTCTCAGCCGGCGTTACTTTGGCTGCCCTAGTCGGCTGGGGGCCGGGCAGCACTCCCAGGACTCCTGGAGGACTCCGTGTGCTGTAAACATCACTGGCGCTGGCCGCCGGAAGCGTGTGGGTGGAGGAAGCCGACTCCGGGGCTGCAGAGTCCTAAAGCACCTCTCACCCCACGGGGTGGGCAAAAACGTCTGGCCGCAGTCCTCAGAGGGCCCCAGGCCCACGGTGGGCCGTGCGCCAGGAAGGCGAGGGCGGCAGAGAGCTTGCGCTGGCCGGGCCCAGGCCTGACCTGCCGGCTCCTCCTCTAGGGGCCCTCTGGAGGCACCAGGCCACAGTGCCCGGACACGCTCCTCAGAGACCAACCCTTTCCCAGACCCGGGGCCATGGCAGTCTGGAATGCCGTAGCCCCAAGAGACAGTGAGTGACCGCTGCCACCCGGCCGGACGCCCGGGGCAGGAGGACGGCCTAGGCCTCTCCCCCGACTCTCGCGGTCCCGCCCACGAACTACTTTCTCTTTCCAACGAAATAGCTCGTGCTGCACCTGCCCGCCCCGCAACCTTTGCGCCCGAGGGGCGGGCCTTCGGCGGCAGCCTCCGCTCAGAGGCGCGCAGGGCCCTACCCCAATCCCCGGGCACCCTCGGAGCAAAACAAGGCAGGCCCCGCCCCTCGTCGGCGTCCGGCATTGGAGCCTCGGTCGGGGTCCCGGGCAGAGACCCCCAAGGCCCCCACGGTCCCCGCGGACGGCCCGCTGCTCTGTGCGGACTGAGCGGGGCGCTCCGCGCTCACGAGGACCACACGCCAGCCCCCGCCGGCCCCGCTCACCCAGGCAGGCCCCGGTGACCAGCGCCGTGGCCGTGAGCGCCCCGGCCGAGGCGCCGTAGATGTGCGTGGCGTTGGCCACCAGGAAGGACGCGTGCTCGCGGAGGCAGGAGGCCACGCCGATGTGGTAGACACCGAGGAAGCCGCAACCTGCGAACGAGATGTTCCATGTCGTCTCCCTGGGGAACATCGCGGCGGCCCGCCGGGCTCCCGGGCTCCGCGGGCGGCCGGCCTCGCTGTGCGCCGCGCGCTCGCCGCTCGCTCTGGAGCCGGGGCCAGAGCCGGCCGGCCGGCCCCGCAGTCGCTGTGGCTCGCGGTCTCAGCCGGCGGAGTTGGAGAAGCTGCCGGGGGAGGAGGCGGAGGCGGTGATTTTAGCGGGGGGCGGGGCGGAGCCGGCACGCGCGGCCCAATTGGGGCGCGCGGGGAACGGCCGCGCCCTCGGGGCGGGCCCTGGAGCCCCGTCCCTGGCCCCGAGGGCCCACCCAGGCCGAAGCCCGGCCCCGAGACCACGCCCCTCTCCGGAAGCCCGTCTCGACCCAGAGACCCCGCCCGGAGCCTCGGCCCAGGCTCTGAGGCCCCGTCCCCGCCCCCCACCTCGCCGCCCGCTGTCCAGGCCACTGGGCCCTGAGACGCGACATCTGCGGCCCCGCCAAACACTGGCCAGGCCCGGACGAGAGTCCACATCCTTGACCTCCCGCTGCCTCCCCACCTCCCCACCCCGCCACCGTCGACGGCGGGAGGGGACACCAAGTGGCCCAGAGGTGTGGTGATGGTCGAGCTCAGGTCCGGGGCGACCGCAGTCTGAGCTGGATACCCACGAGGGGAGGGCCCTGCTGTCTGGGCAGCACCCGCCCCCTCCCTCGGGGGTCGGCCTACAACACCAACCCGGGACACTGCAGAGCTCGCCGAGGGGTCAGGGACCTGAAGGACCCACTGACTCACCCACAGACTGACTTACCCATGAACATACAGGGCGCACGCAACATCACACAGACTTGTAGAGATAACACCGGCGTGGTAGACCCACACCGGACATCCCGACCCAGCCCTGCCCGCCACGCGCTCAGCTCCACCTTGGCACTAACCTGGGTTCGACCTGCGTCCTGCCCCAGCTCCTCAGGCTGTGGGGTCTACGTGGGTATGACTCAAGCCCTGTCCCGCCCCACTAATTGGCCCAACAGGTGGAGCATTCCTGGTGATGTCACCCTCCTGCTCGCTTCCGCATTTTTCCCCTGGACTGTAGGGCAGGCCTAGCCTGGCTTGGATCCAGGGGCCAGCCCTGCACCTCACCCCACCTCCCAAACGAGGGGCTTGTCTGTGCTGGGCAGTGGGTAGCCAGTGTGCATCCGTCTCCCCAGGAACACTAGCTCCTCTGGCTGGAGCTTGGCTCAGGACCCAGCTTGGGGCTGCACGACCCCCAGCCCTGAGGCCCAGGTGAAGCCAGAGCAGGGCCTCCCCAGGACAGGGCTTTCTGGCATCATGCCACCCAGTCCTCAGCCTCTGTGCTCCAAGCCACCCATGCTTAGCACCATGTGCGCCTGGCATGGGGGCCAGCACGGGTGCCCGTGAGCAGTAAGCGACGTCAACACCAACCCTGCCCTACTTGGGGGAGGGTGTGGGAGAGACTGTTTCTATTAAGTTCAGACGAGGACTGAGAAGGAAGAGGGGGGTGGACACTGTTAACGTGGGAAAGCCGCGGGCCACCCACCCACAGGACGTTCAAAGGCCCTGGGTGGGGGCGTTAGGAGAGGCGAGCCCAGGTCCGGGTGCTGTGGGTGCTGGGAATGGGGAAGGCAGGGGGATGAGGGAATTTGACTTGGAACCGCAAATGCTTGGGTGGGATGGAGGCGCAGTGCAGAGGATGTGGCCCCATAAGGGTGACTGAGCACTCGGGGATGCTGCTGGATGCAGCAGGGGACAAGGGGTGTGACACAGTGGGGATGGAACAGACCCCCAGGGCCAGCCTGCAAAGTTCAGGGGTTCACCAGGGTGCCAAGGAGGACCGGGACGGCGCAAGCTGAGCCAGGAACCTAAGCAGGTCATCCCTGCAACCTGCTCCAAGGAGAGGCCAAAGCCTGTGCCCTCCCCATTTCCAAGGGACTGTGGGGCTTGGAGGGTGGCACTACCCCAGTGCCGGGAGACCTCTGCTCCCATTTCCACACCCTGGCTGACTTGTTTTGGGTACATATCCCTCCCTCCCACCAGGCCCCAGGAGCTCTGCAGCCAGGAACAGGGTGGCTCTTCCTAGAATCCTGGCTGGGGGTGGGAGTGGACGTGCCCCCCACCCCGTCTGCACAGAGGAGAAGCCCTGGTGTCTGATGACTGCCAGGGAGGTGTCGTGCCCCCACTCCCACGGTGTCCTCTGGCCCACACAGGGCCCTTCTCCTCAGCCTCCAAGGATGGGATTGTGAGCTCTGCCCCTGGACCCTGCGTCACTCCTCTGGGGGGGGGGCCGTCTCTACCCTAACCTTGGACCATGGCCCCTTGCCACCTGTGTCTCTGGGTATTCACAGCCCCACCTCTCATCCCACTCATACTTTCCCCTTGCAGCCCACACTGCTAGGACCCCTCATTCCCCCTTAGCCCCATGTCCCACACCCCCTCCCCCGAGGCCCTCTTCTAATCCCCACTCCTCTGGGTAGCAAAAAGGCCCTCAGCCCTCTGCCTCCGCCCATGAACACCCCTGCCCGGGGCCTCTTCCTGAGGGCGGGCCCCTCACGCTTCCAGCCCTGCAGTCTTGTGCCACACTCACTGCTCTCCGCCAGAACTGCAAGCCCACAGAGGCGAGTCCTTCACGCCGGCCTACCGTGTGGCGGGCACGTGGCAGGTGCCCACCACACCACAGCCTTCAGAAAGCAAGGCTGAGCATCTACTGGGTGGCCTGGCACTGGTGGGCGACTGCCAATAGCTGCACTGCAGGGCCAGGATGGTGCCTGGGTGGGCAGTGGGAGGGCCTCTCCCCTCTGCCCCACATTCTAGGCCGGAGCCTGGCAGAAAGGGCATGGGCAGGCCCGACACAAGAGGACACAGCAAGCACGCAGCCCAACGCTGCTGCCCACAAGCCGCTTCTGAGTCTACCCAGCAAAGGTACTGGCCCACCGGACAGCTGGGGACACAGGCTCAGAGGAGCGAAGTCCAAGTAGCTCAGGGGATAGGTGGAGCCAGGGCACTGACCCCCACAGTGACATCCGGGGGCCACACACCCACCAGCACATCTCCTGTGCGTGACTGAGGGCTCTCCCAGCCTCGCGGGGGCTGCTGACCTCAACTGGCCCGACCCACCTCACAGGGCAGAGGCCACCCAGCCCTGCTTTTCAAGTGTGCACGGGTGTCCCCCTGGAGGCCTCATTCCTGGGAAGGCCCTGGCAGTCCCCGGGGGCCGGGCCCATGCCCGGAGGGGGGCTCAAGGCTTGCCCGCACTCGGGACCCACAGAAAGCGCCCCGTCCACGCACTCCACCCCTGGCTCTTCAGGCAAAGCCGCTCCACTCGTCGCGCAAGGGCCCTGGCTCGCCCCGGGGTGACACTCGGCTGCAGACACCACACCCCGGCCAAGCGCTCACAGGCAGAGGAATTCGTCAGCGGGGTTTTATTTCCGCGCCGCGGCTCTAGTCGAACAGGCCGAAGCCCATGTCGTCGTCCGACGCCTCCGACTCCTCCTTCCTCTCCTCCCCGGCCTCCTCCGCTGCGGCGAGAAGAGCGCGCGGTGAGGGGCCGCGGCCCGGCCACGCCCCGGCCACGCCCCCGCGCCCCGCGGAGGCCGCCGCCCGGGCCGCCGCTTACCTGCAGCTGGGGCGGAACCCACAGCAGGAGCCGCAGCTCCCGCAGCCGCGGAGACGGCCGCAGCCCCGCCAGCTGGCACGCGGGCCAGCTTGCCAATACCTACAGAAATCAGAAAGGACACGTGAGACCACAGCAGGAGCCCGGCCTCGACGCTACTCAAGAGTAACGAGGGCTCCCCGGTGGCGCAGTGGTCGACGGTGCGCCCGCCGAGGCGGGGGACGCGGGCTCGTGCCCCGGTCCGGGAGGATCCCACGTGCCGCGGAGCGGCTGGGCCCCTGAGCCATGGCTGCTGAGCCTGTGCGTCCGGAGCCTGTGCTCCACAACGGGAGAGGCCACAAC